TCTTTTCTACTTTCCTGTTCTCTTCCTTCAAAAATTACTCTACACCAGGGGTGTCAAACTCATTTTGGTTCAGGGGCCACATACAACCCAATTTGACCTTAAGTGGGCCGGACCAGTAAAATGAAGGCATAACTACCTATAAATAGCAACAACCCCTAATTGTTCTCTACGTTTTATTGCAAAGAAATAGAAATACATTCTGAAAATTATCACATTTAATAAATTTTCTTTTCACAAAACATTATGAACAACCTGAATTTTCTTAAGGAAAATAAGTGCAATTTCAACAATATATTATATTAATTTAATTTACACATGTGCATTACAATTTAAAGATCAGTGGATGTGGATCTACAAAGCCACAGAACATTAATTAACATGTACCTGGAACTGAACAATAATATCAGAGTAACTTTCTATTACAGTTAATAATAATTAAAACAACTTGTCAACTTGTCAAGATCTAGAAATTATTTTAAATTTACATACTGTAAAGTCCGCCAGGACGTGTTGAAAAAGATGACAAAGTTATTCAGCAAGCCAACATTTATTGCTGGAACAGTACAGGTTACTGTCGGCCGTAACCATGCCAAAACAACCAAAACATAAAGTTAGCCGTAACTCTCTTTACCTGTCCTTTGCGCTCACCTCCGGCTCGCTCACACACACACACGTGCACTCGCACAGCCCTCATCCCCGTCACCCTCGCACCCCGCCTCCTACCTACTCATTCAATCCCAAACATGTCATTAACTCAGAACATTAGACAATATAACAGAACATTACTGCAGGGTCGCTACACTGCCCCCCACCTTACAAAGTCCCTCGCCCCGAGGCACACACTTCATTCATATCACCAGATTTTTGTCTAACCAGCTACACACTGTTGGGCATAATGAAAAGCACTCTCAGCTTTAGTCTGCTTTAATACTAAAATAGGTCCAATTGTAGAAAATTCTTCAGATTGTTCACATGCACAGAAGTATTTGCAGATACACACACATGCTGTTGAAACATTTATATTTTTATTTTTCACCAAACAAGTCAGTGCAACATATGCACAGCAGATATATTTACATTGGAGTGAACAAAAATATGCTCACAAAAAACTGAAAACTGAAAAAGAAAATTGTGCAGAAAACAATATTTAGAAAAAAAGGTGCTCACCTGTGGTGTTTTTAGTGCGTACTTCCTGATTGAAGTGGTAACAATTAACCGTTGAGGTGTTTGGCCAGGTGGCACATATATTGGCCAATTAGCTCATGTGGTGTCATTTTGAATGGCAGTGTTTTGAAATGGCAAACATGTGACTTTGACATGTCAGATTGTTGTGTCTTATGCAGAGAACCGTGTTCAGTGCATTTAAAAAGTTTCATTTTGAATTTCAAAATGTGTGAAAATAGTTGTCCAGCTCAGCTTTAATGACATCCTCCAACTGCATAGTGGAGGAAGGAGGAGGGACAGCCTTGCTCTTGAAGAAGCTGCCCAATGACTGCTTTCCCTTTCCTGTGGTGGATGGCTCTGCCTCTGCTGCACCCTGGGACATGGCATCTGTGGTGCTGACACAAGCCCTCTTTTACAGCAAAACACAGAGATAAGAGCTGTCAAAGTTTTGCAGTCTGATGTGATTTTGAGCAATTGGGCATTCTATGTAAACATTAAAACGTGCCAATCAGTGTAATAAAAATATCACTTGTATTGATGTGGCATTTTGTATTACTAAACCACACAAAGAAACAGGACAAGTTACCTTTCGTGCCACCTGTTCCATTTCAATCTTCACTCTTTCTTTGATGTCTGGGACATTCTCTGCACTTATGTAGTCAGTCTTGAATCTAGGATCAAGGAACGAAGTAATGTCCAGTTGCTCCTGTGTGGCTGGGTCGCTGTATTTATCTTCAATGTAGCCAAGAGGCTTCACCGGACAGGGCATCTGTAAACTCCTGAAGAGGACCAAGGGCATTGTTTATGGATTCAAGGACATCTGTGTCCTGCCAAGTGGGGACCAGGTGACGTGTCTTCTTATCTTCAGACAGAACCTGAGACAACGCCTTGCTCTGCTCCAACACCCTCCCAATCATTTTTTGCCTTGAGCCCCATCTTGTCGGACACTCTGTAATCAGTGAGTGCTCAGGTAAATTGAATTCTTGCTGTGCCTTTTTCAGTGCTGTCTTCTTTTTCCAGCTATGAGAAAAGACACCTACCATCTGTTTGCAAAGTCCTACAAAAAGTTCTACATTCAGTCCATAAGGGGTTCTGGTGTTAGGTTTATTAATCCAGGTTCCCTCCGCTCTCATCCTCCGTTCCGGGGTCCAGTTGCTGTTTCTTTCGATGTCAAATATTTATTAAGTTATGGATGGGGTGCATTTGAAAAATGTTGCACCAGTGGGGTTCCAGGCTTGGTCTTCCCGATGTTGCACAGGTGTTTGATAGTCTAGTATGATGCTGTTGTCTTTGAAAAGAGTGCTCTTGTGAGCAAATCCTTTCGATATTTATTTTAGGGGTTAGGGTTAGGGAATAGGTATAATAACCACGATTACATATCGGATGATTACATATGGGTGAATAACTTATTCGCGAACAACCGTGTCCGTTCATTCTTAATGGGACGTGATATGCGAAAAAAGTGTTTTTCACAAAATCGACTCTCCAGAAAGTGTCTAGGAGCATGTTTTAGACCATTCTGAGTCGATTGGAACACATTTTTAGTGACATACATTTTTTGTGTCCCATACTAAGTGTCTAAGGCTTCGGACTTTGTCTCTCACGATCATTCTTGATCATACTTCATCATTGTCAATAACTTTTAAAATAAATCCCCAGAAAGTGTAGGATGATATTTGAGGCCATTCTTTTTCATTTTTCATCAGTTTTATTCTTTTAAAACTTGAAAACACAACTAAAACATCTAAAGATAACACAATAAAGTTGTTTCAGTGTAGCCTCCAGTCTCCTCTTATATTTATCTTTGTTAATATCTTTATATTGCGTTATTTTTATCTGTCTTTTATGCAAAATATATATTTATCGCATTTTTCTTATTTGTATTATATACAACTAAAATTGTGCAATATATATTATCTAGGCTACAGGTTTTTTTTTATATAAAGGTTTTATATCTGCATATCTATTTTTTGAGTGTACATACTGCTTCTCCACCATTCCTGTTGTGCTATGTGCCATTGCAACGTAATTTCATTTTGATGCAAATCCAAATGACAAATAAAGTCTGTCTAAATCTAAGTCTAAGTCTAAGTTATGTGTTTCTTTTCCTCTTTGCTGTGTGGCCAGCAACCTTTCCCCTGAGTTAGTTACTTACCTGCCTTGAGCGTCTGGATTTATTATGCTACCAGTGACAGACTTAATTGTGAGCCAGTCCTGGACAAGGGCATGACTGTGAGGGAATAGAGGATTGTTTTAGTGGAGGCAGAAGTTGTGCTCGCATCAGGTCATCAGCTAACAGTGACTAACACAGTTTCCAAATCAATCTTCTGACTAAGATCCTGAGAGACGACAGATTGCCTGAAGAGAACACACAAAGAGACAGAGAGACTGACTGGAGAAGGTCAAAAGGCCCAGTTGGGCAGTCAGGCAGAGGAACAAAGGTCCCAAGACAGATTTTTGTGAGTCATAGGAGGAAGCTGCTCACTTCATCATCACCAGTCTTCCAGAGCGAGCCAGCTATAGTTCAGTCAGGAGGGACTTCATTTAGAATGAACAAATATACTTAATTGACATGCATAATAAAGATGAGAAATGTGAAAAGTCTTTGGTGATTGGACCCCATCATGACATCATCATATTTAACTTTTTACTGTTGACATGTTGATGCTTGACACTACATGTCACCCATTCATACACAGTGATTGCAGTGGCTGCCAGACAAGGTGCCACATTGCTCACCAGAAATGAATTAATCCCATTCACACACAGCATTTAGTATCTTGCCCAAGGACATTTCGCATTAAGGTATTGTAGACTTACTTGAATAAGCAGTCAAAACTAAAGCTTTGTCCAATTTAAACCAGCAGCTTTTAGTTTACTGCTTTAAAAGGAATCTTTTTATTAGAATTTGAAAGAGAAATAATTTTTCCATGTATAATAGATTTGTGACAAATTGTAGGAAGAATCTACATAAAGTGTCTAAATAAAGTGTTGGGCTTGCACCTGGAACCTTCAGATCCTCATAGATTGGATGCACATAGGGGTGACAGAGTGCTCCAAAACCTCCCACCGGCGCTCAGCTGGGTTGAGATCTGGAGACCTTGAAGTCTATAGTAAATGATTCACTTTATATACTATATTTTCATGCCCATCAAACCATTCAGTGACCCCTTGTGCCCTGTATGTAACCATCTGCATTTGTTTATACCCTCATTTATTCATGTTTTTCTTTAATTTGTAACCCATCTGTATGTGTGACAGACATCATCCTCGTTTTCATGCCAGGCACATGTCCTCCAGCACATAATGACTGTGAAATATATTGACCACTTGAAATACAAAAAAACCAAAATCCAATCTGGGTCACTGCAGGTGGTATTTCATGCGGATTCTTGCCATGTGACCACATACCAAAATTACAAATTGAACTCGAACCAAGAAATTCTGTGTGGCTAGAAATGTGTAAGCTTTCATTTTTATGTTTATGGATTTTGTTGTATTGTCAAATAGTGTAGTTATAGTTATAGTAGTGATAGTTTAATAAACAAGTAGAACCATGGTTGTAATTGCTTGTACTGTTAGTACCCATGTTTTGTTTTGGTTTTAAATTAAACATTTTAAAGATATTACCATCAACCTTTTTATAAAAATATAAGGTTATTACTTGAATCACTACATTATTTTAAAAGTTGTTATAGTCTAAATCAGTATTTTAATTAATTTTATATACAAGGCACACTTGTATTCATATCCTTGAAAAATAGCCTCTATAACGTGTGTAATCACCCCAATCCCTCTGTAAATTTTTATTTTTTATTAACTATGCCACAAAAAAATAGACAAACGTATGTTTATTAACAAAACAATTCAAGAATTAATTTGAAAGACAGCCATTTAAACCAGACAGAGAGAGAGAGGAGGGGTAGATCTGGCGTAAGTGGGGAGCATCCCTGGTTGAGCACAATGTATTCACTCTTTACAGACCAAGCTAAGAAGAAAGAGAGAGAATGAAAACTAACCTAACCAACGGAGGCAACAAGTACAGATTAATCTGAGTGCAGGTGGGAAGAAAAATATCATCATCAGGGCCTTGGAAAGCAGTGTGTGAAGAGGTGAGCAGAATTAAGTTTATGATTGTGAAGGCTGTGACAAGCTTGAAATTCTATTCAAAGCATTTCCTGTTCAATTTCTGTATAATTACCATAGCTGGATTTTATTAATTATCCCTGTCATGATGTTGTCAATCACAGACAAATACTGACCTCTACTGTAGATGATGTGCAAGTCAAGCACCCGAAGTGTAGTACAAATTTGCACTGTACTGCACTACGACTGCTGCAGTCCTCTAAACACACAGGATTCACACACTCACCCTGACTTCTTGTTTGGTGACATTTAAGGACTAAAAATTGACATGATACTTGTCAAATTATCCACATTTTATTAGCCATACAAGAGGCCTCAGTCTTTATAATAATCATCTTTCCAAGTCAGAAAATCCTTGTAAATTCCTTCATTTTAAAGCGACTACAGTGTCTGTGCAGATATCCGTCACTTCTACACTAGATTTTTTTTCTGTGTGTATCTCAAGAAGCAGCAGTTCCACACACAGTTGCTTCAGATCAGTGCACCATGGACCCGAAGGTCTGCCGATGAGGAGTCCCATTTGGATGTTCAACTCTCATCTTTTCATCCTCTTGTTCTCAGTAGTAATAGCTTCCAAAAACCGCCACCACACAGACCAAGCTGTCCTACAGAGGTAAAACACAATTCATTGTAAAAGAAGTCTTTGAGAAGTCTGCCCCCCCCAACATCTTTGTGTCCAGAACAAAGGCACCTACGTTCATGAAAACATCTTCTGCATAGTTGTCTGTGTCAGCATCCCACAAACACCTTGACGACATCCTGATAAAACACGAGAGGACAGAGCAGAGTGTCACAAATGTCAAGGATTCACTTCTGAAAAACCTTGTACACATTTTTAATTTAAAACGCTGTTTACTAACACTAATGATGTAAATGCGAGGGGCAGATCATACTCAGTATCGGCTACTATGACAATATTTCTTGAATAATGCTATTTCAGTACAGTAATCACACAACAGGAAAGAAGGCTACAAATCAAATCAAATGATATTAAATAACGCTGTCAGCTTTATGTCAGTCAGTAAATGGAATTTCCTGGAATTCTCCAATATCTTCTTAATACATTTAAATAAATTGGAGTAAAACTTCTTGTTTCACTGACAAGTAATTAATGAAAGGTTGCTGCTAAGTAGGGCCAAAGTTATCTAATCTCTAGCTGCCCGTCAGTCTCTGTTCCCTACAGTGTAAAACAACAACCTGCTTTCTCCACCAATAGTATCCTATTAAATTATAGTAGTTTTACAAATTGTAAAAGATATAGTATATTTATCTTGTAGCAAATGATCACTCACTTGACTCCTTGTCCTCGTTGTTCTCCAATGACCACCTGCACAACAAGCTTATATCTGTCAAATCCTGCATCTGTTGAGGAAAAGAAATGAGCTGTAACAGGAGAACACCAAACTGGAATAATACAGTGGTGAGTGAATACACTACATTCAATGTGTAGCATTTATTTAAGGTAAAGCTTTAAAACATTTTACTAGTATCACTTGTTTTAATTGGAGATATTTTACTATTGACTATATTTGTGATGACAAAAATCCTCATTGACAATGACAAATAATTTTATTCAGCTTCATTCTTCTGACAACATGTTGTATCACTCATTCGTTCACATTGTGCTTGTTTCCTTCTCGTAGCCATTCAGCCTGTGAACTGTGTATTGCCAACCACAAGTGGCAGAGCCTCTTTAGTCGGTTGCCTTGGCAATCATGAGGATAGGGGTTGTATAAAACCTTCTATGCAACATTTCCTGATCTAGTTTAACCCAAAAGGAAACGTTCAAATAACAATGTCATTTATTTTGATGTGTAGTTAGCCAACATCAGGCTAAGTCTGCACTTATGTTGCCATTTCACTGTATTCTTAATATTAAATCAGACTCTGAAGTGAAACAAACACTAAATTACTAAATTAGTGAATTATGAGTAATTATGTTGAACCCTAATATTTTAATACATTTGAATCAGGCTTTGGATGGTCAGTCCTTCTGCGTTAAACTCAAGGGAGGCAGAAAGTATCACTCACTCTTCACTTTGTCCTTAATGCAATCTGCCAGTGATCGGGACAGCTCTGGGACTTCCTCGGGGTCGTACCGCATCCCAGACAGCCGCTCCCTCACTATTTCACGAATACACTCTTTCACAATGGCTGCCTTAAACCTGGAAGATGTAACTTTAACAGTGAGCAGCAAGGCACAATGGCGCCAGCACGATACTGACTCCAGACTTACCGTTAATCTTAAAACGGCACTATACATGTTAAATTGCACTATGAACACAAATAGTTGCTAACTTAACGTAGCTTATAAAACGTATCGTTAGCATTGAACTCGCTGGCAAAATGCTAAGTTTACCAGCTAATAATGATATTTATAATCATTTTGACCCACTCACTTGTGCTGATGATTAGGTCGTATGAGGTACGTGTCTGTCCCCTCCATCGCATGTCAATAATATAACGCAAGTAAACAACAACAGAGAGAAAGAAGGCAGACGCCCGCTAACATGCTAATCTGTGCTAAATTGTATCCGTTACCATAGCGACGTTTTTTCCTAGTTTCCGGTTTCAGAATAAGAGCACAGTAAAGTTGTTTGAAGAAAACTTTCAAAATAAACGTTACATTGGTTCGCTTCTGTTAAGAATAATAGACGTAAAGTAAATTGTTAAGTACATGTTTGAATAGGACAATGACCAAGCAATAGGGACAAGAAAACACTGAATTTAAAAATTATTTAAAAAAATATATGTAAAAAAGCTCTCTAAACAAAAATACAAATAAACAAAATAATCTGCTTAAAATGTATCAAAATCACTCGTTTTACTCAAGTTACTGAGTTGTTTGGGTTTATTGTACAGTTTTGAATATAATATGAAATATCCAGAAAATATGTGACTTAGTCAGAGGTCGTCAGTTTACTCCATCATAGAAAAGGCGTCCCTTAAAGAAAAAAGGTTGGGGACCACTGCTCTAACCAATGCAGGAGGCATTTATGTCAAATGTAGCTACATCAGAGTCTTGAAAATATATAGTTAAGCCTCTTTTTTTATCATTTTGTCTTTTATTTATGTGTTATTCCTCATTCTTTTAAAAAATACATTACGAGAATGTGTTGATGCTAGCACATTTGGGCCTAAAGAATTTGGGATCACAAGAGTTAGTGCTCAAGCTCATATTTCATTCTGTTTCATCACTTTTGGTTTTTATTTAACATTTTATCCTCCAGTTTTTCATCCCTTATTTCAGTGCTTCAGCTGTCTTATTTTAAAATATGCCAGAAGTTATTTTTGCTATTTTCAGTCAATATACAAATGAGGACGACTGATCCATCTCTTCGACAACTGAGCAAACATTGCATTGCTGATGAGGACAGAGAGATGCGGTTGACAGCTCAAGAAAAAAAAAGAACTTTAGTCAAGATTAATTTGTCATACAGAGATAAAAAGATATAAATGATCACTCTACACACAGTTACATACATTCACACCTGGAAGTTGTCTTGTGCAAGCAAAGCCTGATCTGAACTGAACTTTGCCTAAACCTTCAACCACTCAACTCAACCACATCGCCTCCATATCTGTCCCTATCACTGTCGGTGTGAGAGCTATCCAAATGCCTCCTTCTTAACTATTCCCACTTTTCTTTGTCTGACAAGAAAACCCTTTGATACAATGTCTTCTAAAATGTCACTATACTTCCACCATTTCTTTCATTTCACCCCCTTCCTTTTACTCCCACATGGATTGGTATCAGTCCAGGTATGTTATCCAAAGACTTAACACAGTGGATCCAGTCCACGGCTATTTTCATCATGATTTCTGAGCTCTGCTTTCAAGGCCTCTTCATCGGATTTGGTTTCAGATGTCCGGAGCAAATTTAGACTGTTTCTGGCTCGAAATTTCAATCTCTAGCTTTGATAGCAGCAGGAATAGCACGGTCCTGGCACATTCTCACCATGCAAATATTCCATCTTTGCCTGCTTTATTCAAGATAGGAAGGCTGGATTTAAATCACACATAATTAAAAGGCAAGCATTTTCCACATATTGAACATATTATTATCAAAGGCTTGTGTATTCAGTCAACAAGTATTTTATCAAGTATCACATAGCTGCACCATCCAACATCTACTTTAGGTAAATATGTGTTGATCTACACCAGCTAGTCAAACAACACAAATCCAGCGATTCTGTTTCAAATCTGTATGAAGACGTATTAGAATAATTAAAGTCCCTCATTTTGAATTCGAGATCAATTGTGCTTGTGTCAAAAAGCCAGAGGGGTAAACATTGTGTGCTCAGTTTAATTGCTCATCATTTAGAGGACTACAGGCCTGCAGGATGGGATGGAAAAGCCTTTACATGTGTTATATTGAGGCTAACTGCTGAACATGGTGTGAGTCATTTAGTATTCATCATTATCTACAGGCCTTTGGTGAGGTACGAATTACAAATAACAGTAATTGAATTTCTCTCTGTTCAACCTGCAAAATAAGTTAAATGAGCCATTAGACCTTAATGTTTCTTTTATTGCTTCTTCACAATGAGCTGCTGACAGCAAGGCTCTACATGCATAATTCTCCTGGATGATAGGTTTATGAGTTTATTATTTAATGTTAAGCACCCTTAAGCTGATAGCTGAATGTGACTCAGGCTTATATGATGCCAATATCATGGCCTGTTTGCACATCACCCTATCAATGATTGATTCAAGCCTTATGAACACTTTCTGTCTCTTGTTTCAAATCACTTTTGTTTTGTTTTCAGATAAAAAGGAAGTTAAAGTTGGACATGTGAAAGTTAAGTGATATCATGGTCAGGAGAAGGAGGCAGACATTTTTAACAGCTATTGTTTAAATGATGATGACAGTAGATCACTTTCTGTAAAGTAAAATCCGTCATCTTCTGCATTATATCTTATTCGTCAAATGTTCCATCTATTTAAAATATTGTAAATATTAGTCTTTTTATTGCCTGGAATACAGAGAAGAGGCTGATTCCCGATGTCACCAGAAGGTGGCAGTGTTTCATGAATACAACAAGAAAATGTTTCAGTTTCATTTCACCTGCAGTCGTGGTATGTGAGGGTGAAACAACCCAACATACACAAAGCAGTTACATTTTCATTACATGGGCCTCTCTTCTCTTAATTTCTGTGTATAAATAGGCTATAAAGTGAATAAGATTTACTTTATTAATTAGTTTAATGACTAGTATTTATATATGCTTAACATGTTCCCTAGCAAAATAAACTTATTAAAGTTTTGTACTATGAATGCGTCATTCATAGTACAAAACTTTAATAAGTTTATTTATATATGCTTAACATGTTCCCTAGCAAAATAAACTTATTAAAGTTTTGTACTATGAATGACGCATTCATAGTACAAAAATAGACTGGAAACTTAAGGAAATCCACTTTTAGGTTTCATTTTCCTCAAACTCTATGGGCAGGGTTACGTCCAAAGTCTCTCAACCTAGGAGTGATGAGTCATTGTTTCAAGTTGTTTATATACTGTACGGATCAGCTGACAGAGTTTTGTATCTTCTTCAGCCACCAACACCACTGACACTCGCAGGATGGAGTGGACAAGTATCTTCCAGATGAAAGCAGAGAGTCTTAAACAAGGAGACTCCTGGCGTCTGGAGTTTGATGACAGTCTTGTGCCTGACTGCCCAAACCCTGGCTGGGAGCAGTACATCAGGAACACAGGTGCAAGGTCAGTGTGCAGGAGTACTGTTATTTACTGTAGTTGGTGTGTATATACAGTATTGTATATGTTAGTGGATATAGTAGTAGTAGTAGTTAGACATGGGGTTAGGAGAATGAATGTAAGTAAATGACATGTCTAGTGTGACAAAAGCTGGGTTATTTTAGACTTTAAGATATATTGAAAAGAAGAAGAATCTCATAGGTAGGCTTTACTCTCAGATGGGGACAAAGGACCATAGTCTAGACTGGGAACACTTGAATGACAGAGAAAGACCTCTGGTTTTATTATGTAATCAGTAGTGATGGGTGGATAATAAAGAAGCTCTGAACCATGTTTCATTGCTGTGAGGCTCACCGTTTTATCACATTGTTTCAGAGTTTAACCTAATCTGGATTTAACAGAGCACAAGTACTACAGATTGAATAAAACACACAGGCTTCTTGGACTGTTATTGCACACATATGATAACAATCAGGGAGGTGTTGTGATGCTTCAGCCCTAGTCCTTAAGGGCTGCTCTAAGTTTTCCAAACCACCAGATGTCACTGTGCTGCAGAGTTTGAAGCCCTGAAGCCTCTAATCTTTTTTTCAACACAAATAGAAAGAAAGCCCAAAAGCTTTATAAGGCTTCATCCACCCAACAATCATAATCGATCAGGAATGAGGTGAAATCAAATGGCTCTTTCTCCTCCCATTTCAGTCAAGTCAAGTCAAGTCAGCTTTATTGTCAGATAAAGATAATTTTCCATTTTTAACTGACTTTTAAAAATATAATTATATGATTTCTTCCAGAGCATGGCTTCTTCCAAGAAGTGTTTCTATAGTTAAAACTTACAGTGTAACTTAGGTTGTCATTTTGTTAAAAGGTTGTTAAAAGGTTGTTGTCTTTTCCAAGGTTCAAATGCACCATGTGTGGAAGAGGCTGGCCTTCCAACCGGGTGATGGTGGTCTTCCACATGCGCCTGTCCAACGGGCAGGGCATTGTCAAGGTGAGGCGCTTCCGTCAGAACTGCAAGATGTGCACCGAAGCTCCAATGGAAATGCCCGAAATCGACTCTGAGAACATCAACATCCTTCTGGAGAATCTGGTGGAGAAGATAAGAATCAAATGCTACCATGAAGACCTGGGCAGAGGGAACAGGCCTTTTGTAAACCTGGAAGTCAAGAGTCCCCATGAGCCTGCTCATTGTGAGGCCTGTAAGCAAGGCATCTGTGCAAGGAGTTAAACTTGTGTAACTTTTAAGTCAGACTTTTATTAATTGAAGGAAAAATTGATATTTGTCTCAGGCTGTCTTGTATTTATTCTTGAAGGTTTTTAAATTTTATTAATAGTTTCAATTAAGTTCTATGCCTGTAGCTCATATAAGCAAAGCATGTAAGCTTTTATATTTATTCTTACTGGCAGTTTTCTTTAACATTTACATTTGTCTGCTCAATGCATTAAAAATGAATTCTTAAAAACAGAAATGTAACAGATAAATAAAGAGTTTACAAGCAATACACTAAATGTATTGGTGATTTCTGTGGTCAAATTCCTCTGATTTATTAATTATTTAATGTGTATATATGGCACTAAATGAGAGAAAAAAGGCCTGTCAGTGATGTTTGCCACTTGAACCACATACTGTATGAAATGGGATGTACATGCAGGATTCTTGTTTTTATGAACAGTGACAGCGAGATGGTAAAGGATATTCCTTCAGACAGGACTGGCTGAAACAATTTCCCTGACTGAGGTACAACAAAGGACGTAACGCAATGCACTGCGTGTACTGTCAGCAGTGCGGTCAGAATATGGCCGGAAATAGTGCATTCGTGAGCGGGTCAACAACGTTTCATATCGAACTTTTATTTGGAAATGTTTTATTTTGCTTAGTGTTTTAGTTTGAAATGTTCAATTTCAGCTCAGTGAATCACTTTAAACACTTTATTTTTCTATTTATATATAATTGTGCTTCAAATAAAGACAAGCATTTCTCTACACCTTACCAGTTATGGAGAGTGATAAAAAGGTGACCTTATGGCTTTATAGGCGACGCAATGAAAAATTTGGGTGCACCTACATTTTGTGCTGGTGCACGTAAAAAAAAAAAAGTTAGGTGCAACCAATTCAAAAAGTTAGTCTGGAGCTCTGTTATGTTTTATATGCTTAACATCTAACATCTCTAGCTAAACAAACCTTTCATAGTACAACCATTCCTAGCACAAAACTACAACTGAAACTTAAGGAAACCAGGGTTGAACTTTTAAGTTTCGTTTTCCTCAAACTCTGTTGGTAGGGTTACATTTAAAGGCTCCCAACCTGGGGGTGATGAGTCACTCTCTCAAGCTGTTTGTATTCAGATCAGCTGTCAGAGTTTTGTCTCTTCTTCAGCCACCAACACTGACAGGATGGAAGAATCAAAGTGGACAAGTATCTTCCAGATGAAAGCAAAGAATCTCAAACAAGGAGACTCCTGGAGTCTGGAGTTTGATGACAGTCTTGTGCCCAAACGTCCCAACCCATGCTGGAAGCTGTGTATCGGGAGCACAAGTGCAAGGTCAGTGTGCTGAATTATTGTTAGTTACTGTAGTGGGTGTGTACTTTATAGGGATGTCCATATCATGTTTGTTTAGCTCCTGATCCAATCCGAGTCATTTAATATTGAGCCCAGTGCACACTTTAAGTACATTAAAGTTGCCTAAATTAATCAATCAAATTTTAAATTCTTGAAAATTAAATATCTCTGCATTGCATTAAGAAAGAAAATAAAGTTACAGAGAGTTACACAATAAAGTATAATTAAATATAACAAACCCTCTGTAATGTTTTTGCTCTCGTTCTGTCTGGAGGAAGTTTCTCTCTCCAGCGTATATTGCTTCAGTGCAGCTTTTACCTGAGTTACCTGGACAAACTGTATTCTGCTGAGCGTTTATCATCTCTACATCTTTTGCATAATTATAGTACAGTGTGCGTAATTATAGTACAGATACATTAGGTTTATTAAGGTTTGTGTGTATATATATGTTCTTGGACAACTTAAGTTGCATGGACAAAAAAACTAAAAAATAGGTCACATTCTGGTGATTTTAGGACAAACACTAATCACCGCAAGGTAAACCATTAAGTTTTAGCGTAAAGACTAAAGTAAAGGTGAGGATAAGGGAATATCGGTTAAGGGTTAAATAAATGAATGTAAATTCATGCCATGTCCTGTGTGACAAGAGCTGAATTATTTTAGTCTCAGAAATATACAGTAAGAAAATAATACCATACATTTCAGACTGGCAAAACCTAAATACACAATACTTGTGGTTTCATTAAGTAATCAGGAAGGAGGTGACATCAAATGGCCCTTTGCTTTCCATTTCCTTTTCCACTGGCTTCAGTCTAACAGCATTATTTAGTCAATAATTTGGTTTGCCCAACTGACTTTTAAACCAAATAAATTTCTTCTTCCAGAGCATCGCTGCTTGTGTGTGCCTACAGCTAAAACTTGAGTTTCCAGTGTACGTTTGCTCGATTCAGTTCAGTCTGTCTTCAACTTGGGTCCACTGTCATTTTCAAGGTTCAGCTGCACCAAGTGTGGAAGAGGCTGGCCTTCTGTTCGGGTGAAGGTGGTCTTCCACATGCGCCTCTTACATGGGCATGGCACTGTCAAGGTGAAGCCCCTTGGCCAGCAGTGCAAAACGTGTGAAGGAGCTCCAATGGAGAAGCCCAGCGTCACCTCCAGGAACATCGACATCCTCCTGGATAATCTGGTGGAGAAGATAAGAATAAAATGCTACCACGAAGACCTGGTCAGAAGGAACAAGCCTTTTATAAGCCATGATGTCAGCCGTCCCCACGAGCCTGCTCATTGTGAGGCCTGTACTCAAGGCATCTGTACAAGGCGTTGAGCTTATATGAGTCAGGCTTTTATAAGAAAAGTAATTATTTTAGTTGGGGTTTTAATGATGTTTTATACCCATAAACTCATATTAGCAAATTGTATCAAGATTTATATGTAAGACTGTCATTCTGTTTCATTGTTTAGCTTTCATATTTATTCTTGCTGGTTGTCTATTTTCTTTAACATTTTGTTTTCTCAAATGCATTAAACACGCCTTCTTACAAACAGAAATGTAATAGATTAATAAAGTTTATACAAGCAATAAACTAAATATAGTTGTGATTTGGTCTGATTTATTTATTATTTAATGTGTAAATATGGCACCAGATGAGATAATGAAGGCCTGTGAAAGCAAGGGGTCTGGCAGCTGATCTGTAGAATACTTAAATAATCATCATAATATTTGGAATTTAAGAAAAAGGGTTATTATACATACAGTAAGTTACTTGTTGTTATGCATGGTGTCAGCTACACAGAAAGTTATGTACTACATTTCTGGCAGCAGCCATTTGTTTGAAATAAATACAGGAACTGCACCAGTCAGCACAAGCAGTGATATCCAAGTGGGTTGCGATATCAGTAAGGTATAGGCAAAAGAGTGCCACTCACACTGCTTCATTAACAGATGATGATTTAAAGCAAAAGGCATGGCTGTAGTAGGTGTCTGCCTTTTAACAGGCAGTTTTTCCTTGCCCTTGTCGCCAAGTGCTTTCTCATGGTGGTACTGTTGGGTCTCTGTAATTAATGTTTTAAAGAGTTCGGTCTAGACCTGCTCTATTTGAAAAGTGTCCTGAGATAACTTCTGTTATGAATTGGCGCTATACAAATAAAATTGAATTGAATTGAATTGAATTGAATTGTAGTAGGGAAGCTTAAATTGAATATTGAAGTTTTTTAGAGTGCCAGGTTGTGACAAATTGTTTAATTTTCATGGTCATCATTAACATAAAATGAAAAAAGCCTGGTTGGTAGGAGGCTTGGGGTGACACCTGAGGACACCTGCGGTCCTTCACTAGTGAGAACTTTGGTTTGTTTTCTTATAAAACAAATAAAGGCACTGAGCTTATTTCTGTAAATCCAAATAAATCATGTTTCATTTAGTAGTGAATAAAGTGTTCACTTTCAGTTGATTTCCAGTCAGTGATAATCATAAGGCACCCTGACAACCTTAAAACAAACAAACCAGTCTCATTTTCATTACAAAAGCTTTCTCTTCTCTTCATATCTGGCAATTAGACAGTGCAGTGACTAATGTGTTTTATATGATTAACACCCAACATTGTTAGCAAAATGAACTTGTCCTTCCACATTCCATTCATAGTACAAAACCAGACTCAGATCTCTTTTATTATGCTAGGGTCACATTTAAAGTCTCCCAACCTGAATCATTCTCTCAGGTCTTTTGGATACAGATCAGCTGTCAGAGTTTTGTCTCTTCTTCAGCCAACGCAGGTCACACTGACAGGATGGAACGATCAATGTGGACGAGAATCTTCCAAAATAAAGTGAGGAATCTTCAACAAGGAGACACCTGGCGTCTGGAGTTTGATGACAGTCTTGTGCCTCACAGCCTGAACCCAGGCTGGGAGCAGTACATCAGGAACACAGTTGCATGGTCAGTGTGCTGGACTACTGGTATTTAATGTTGTTGGTGTGTATATACAGTATTGTATATGTTAGTGGATGCATTAGGTTTCTCAAGGTTTGTCCGTATGTATACTGTAAGTACTTGGACTATCTAAGCTGCATGGACAAAAATGTGTTCACACAGTTAAGAGCTTAGGCATGGGGTTAAGAGAATGAATGTAAGTTAATGCCATGTCTAGTGTGACAAAAGCTGGGTTATTTTAGACTTTTAGATATATTAAAAGAAGAATAATCTCATAGTTAGGCTTTACTCTCAGCTACAGATTTAATAAAACACACAGGCTTCTTGGACTGCTATTGCATCAAACAGGAAGGAGGTGAAATCAAATGACTGTTTCTCCTCCCATTTCCCTTTTTTACTGTCTTCAGTCTAACAATATTATTTAGTCAATATTTAGGGTAGACCAACTGACTTTTAAATATAATTATATGATTTCTTCTTCCAGAGAGTGGCTTCTTCCAAGAAGTGTTTCTATAGTTAAAACTTACAGTGTAACTTAGGTTGTCATTTTGTTAAAAGGTTGTTAAATGGTTGTTGTCATTTTCAAGGTTCAAATGCACCATGTGTAGAAGAGGCTGGCCTTCCAACCGGGTGATGGTGGTCTTCCACATGCGCCTGTCCAACGGGCAGGGCATTGTCAAGGTGAGGCGCTTCCGTCAGAACTGCAAGATCTGTGACGAAGCTCCAATGGAAATGCCCGACATCACCTCCGAGAACATCAACATCCTTCTAGAGAATCTGGTGGAGAAGATAAGAATCAAATGCTACCATGAAGACCTGGGCAGAGGGAACAGGCCTTTTGTAAACCTGGAAGTCAAGAGTCCCCATGAGCCTGCTCATTGTGAGGCCTGTAGGGAAGGCGTCTGTACAATGGATTGAACTTGTGTAACTTTTAAGTCAGCCTTTTATTAATTGAAAGAAAAATGTACATTTGTCTCAGGCTGTCTTGTAATTAAGTTCTATGCCTGTAGCTCATATTAGCAAAGCATGTAAGCTTTCATATTTATTCTTATTGGCAGTCAGTTTTCTTTAACATATACATTTGTCTGCTCAATGCATTAAACATGACTTCTTAAAAACAGAAATGTAACATAAATAAAGAGTTTACAAGCAATACACTAAATGTATTTCTGATTTTTGTGTTCAAATTGGTCAAATTTATTTATTATTTGATGTGTATATATGGCACTAAATGAGAGAATGAAAGCCTGTCAGTGACTTTTGACACTCGAAGCACATACTGTATGAAATGGGATGTACATGCAGGATTCTTGTTTTTTATGAACAGTGACAGCGAGATGGTAAAGGATTTATGACACACAGAAAGTGTTGGCAGCAGAGGTCGTGCAGCAGCAATTATAAGCAGTTTGAAACAAATAAAAGAAGTGCACAGTCGGCACAGACAATAATATCAGGAGGGTGGAACTGATGTAGAAAACAATGCCATTCTCACTGCTTCTGTGTATAAATAGGCTGTTAGGCAATTAGACATTCTAATGACTAATATGTTTTATATGCTTAACATCTAACATCTCTAGCTAAACCAACTTTTCATAGTACAACCATTCATAGCACAAAACTACAACTGAAACTTAAGGAAACCAGGGTTGAACTTTTGTTTTCCTGAGTCATTCTCTCAAGTTTTTTGTATACAGATCAGCTATCAGAGGTTTGTCTCTTCTTCAGCCACCAACACTTGTTTGATGACAGCTGGTAGTTGTGCATCGGTAGCACAAGTGCAAGGTCAGTGTGCTGAACTATTGTTAGTCACTGTAGTGGGTGTGTATCTACATTGTCTACATTTCTTTGCCCTCAAGTAATTTAATATTGAGCCCAGTGCACACTTTAAGTACATTAAAGTTACTAAAATCAATCCAATGTAAATGCTACCACGAAGACATGGGCAGAAGGAACAAACTTTTCATAAGGCATGATGTCAGCAGTCCCAATGGGCTCTCCTTTCTCTTCATTTGTGGCAGTTAGACAATGTAGTGACTAATGTGTTTTATATGATCAACATCCAACATTGCTAACAAAACAAACTTGTCATTCCCCATTCCATTCATCAGTGGCGGTTCTATCTTGAATGACAATTTAAAAAAAACACAAAATTCTGCACAAACTGTTATGTTTTATTATAACAACATAAATGAAGCAGAGAATTATATTTTTCGATTGCACAAATCCTTCATCAGAACAACTGGATTTAACTATTGCACTTGGAACAGGAAACAGACTTTTTAAGGGGCACAATCTCCACCTCCAACATTGCCAAAAGACAATGAACACAGTTCTGCACAAAATATGACAGTATAAGTTATCAGAACTTAGAGAACCTTGGTGACCACATAATCGTTTTGTATTATTTTTGTTAGCCATTTTACACAATTCAGAAAAACAAAAATGTGCATGAACTATAGGCCTGTATTTATTATATCATGAATGAAATGTGCGTTATTTGGAGGAAAGTCGAGGTGTGACTGACTTAGAGTGGATCCCCCGTTCCCCTACTTGTCTGTTCCATTAGGGAGACCCAGAGGTGAACTGTAGGCGGAAGGAAAAAGCCTTTTATAAGGCATGATATCAGCAGTCCACATGAGCCTGCTCACTGTAAGGCCTGTACTCATCTGTACAAAGAGTTGAGCTTACATAAGTCAGGCTTTTATAAAAAAAAGTTATTATTTTTGTTTAATGATGTTTTATACCTATAAACTTATATTAGCAAATTGTATCAAGATTTATATGTAAGACTGTCATTGTGTGGACTGCACAGTCATGCACAATCAGCATTATCAGGAAGGTGGAACAGACAAATAAAAGACAGCCACTCACACTGCTTCATAATTGCTTTGGGGATTAAGGCGTTGCATATTGGATCAGAGTTTTGCAACCTGTTTAATTTTGATCAAATGAAAATAAGGCTGACTGGCAGGAGACTTGAGGTGACAACAGAGAACACCTGTGTCTCTCAGGATATCCACTGTTTATTTGCGTACGACCAGCAGGTGTGACACTGCTGTGGTCAGTCTTCATCATCTGCAAGTCACACACTGAGGTATAACACATCAACTGTGGTTTATCTTTGTTTTTTATCTGTTTTGTATGAAACCACTTACAGGGAAAGTAGCTGCCCTGCAGAGTTTTTCATTTCCCACATCATTTGCCGGGGGTTTTCCACATCACGCTTGGTTTACAGTGACACTATGTATATCTTGCCCACTAAACCACCTGCAGGAGATAGATTGCCAGGTAAGTGGTGGTATGGTTTGCTGTCTGGCAATGGTTATTTATGGATAGGCTCAGCAGTACTTTTTTTTTACATGACTGTTCTATTCATACAATTGAAAACTAAAAGAAATTGTTCCCATAAAGAAGTGTGATGGTTATTCTGTGTGTTTTGCAGACATGTGATTCTGAAGAAACTGCTTATATCTGACAACTGTAGACGAGTAAAGATTTAACTTTTGACATCATGATTTCCAAGGATACTACACTGAAGGTAAAGTATCTGTTATATAGCTGGTATATCCATACTCTGTTATGTGTTATTTCCAAGGCTAAATAGAGGATAAGTTAATAACAAGAAATAATAATTGTCCTCTTTATTACTGATAACAATAAATAATGAAACCCTTAACCTGAATGGTTTAATTCTTAAAACTGCTTATATTGAAACTGTTGTAATTGTTGTTTTATAGCCTCTCCCTCCAACAGTCAGGCTGGTCATGTTTCTCATTCTTATACCAGGTAAGCTTTTTGTTAAGTCAAGTATTCAGTTTTAGGCATGATGTCTACCTTACATTTAAAGGTTTTATCAAAAAACATAACCAACCATGCAGCATCAGCAATAAACAAATATTCAAAATGCATTTACAATGTGTACTGTATGTGCAAAACTGTAAGCAAAATGCTGGAAGATTCAAATATCTGTGTATTGTGCATGAAATTGGAATTGGAAACAAGTTATTCGAAATCCCAGTGGTTACTGTGAACTAAAGCTGAGTCAATCCCAAGATTTTTCCATCCACTTATTTAGTTTAAGGTGTTTTGTTGAAAATCACAGAAGCTGAAGCATGTTTATGACGGAACTTTTGTTTGAATTCTCTCATCAGCTCTGTGCAGTGCCATTGAGGTGAACTGCTCTGAGCCAACCCAACCTGCCCTGCTGGAGGCTCTGACTCCAATCTTTAACATGAGTGCCATACGACCAGTCGTAAACATGACAACCCGCACCAATGTCAGCACCTTCTTCACCTTGTATGGGATATTAGGAGTGGTATGTTCAGCTCTCTGTAAATAAGGATAAGAAGCAGTGTAATGAGTGTTTATATGCATTGTATCGATAGTTATTATGTTGTCACCAAAAACACTTCTTCTTGTCTTCCAGGATGAAAAGTCTCAACTCTTAATCACCTACCTTTGGCTAGATTATGTAAGTATTATAATCCTCCATCTTAATTTTTCCATTAGTGATGTAGGAATAATTGGATTATTTTTTGTGAATTTTGTGATTATTACTTATCTGGTCTGTGCACTGACACCAGTTTGGATGTTTTAGTGGTGGAAGAACGAGCTTGTCACTTGGGACCCAAACCAGTGTGGCACCGACAAGATTTCTCTTCCCAGAGAAAATTTTTGGGTGCCAGATATTGTAATCAATGAATTGTAAGTTCCATTGTACTTGACCATTTATATATTCTGTCAAAGCATGCATTGTATGTGGCAGATACAACAGAATAATTTTAACATGCTCTTACAATGCATATTTGTTAAAAGGAGGGCTGGTTTTATGCTATATATGCTCCTTATTGTCAACAAATCTCGTAAAAAAGTCCACCTGGCAGGAAAAAGTAAAGAAAAATGATTTGTTTACACTGTTTTCATGCTGCACTTCAGAACTAGGGCTAAATTTCCTGTTTGTAGCAGTAGAAAAATTAAGGGTGCCATGCTCTAATTTTGCAGACCTTACACTCATAACTCCTCTGCATGTTCCTGTCTTGCAGTATGGATGAAAACACAGCCCCTCCTGTCCCGTATGTGTACCTGTACAGCAATGGGATGGTGCATGATGCTCAACCAGTCAAAGTTGTCAGCTCCTGTAACCTTGATATCTACACCTTCCCCTTCGACATACAGAACTGCACTTTCACTTTCAACTCCTACATCCACTTGGGTGAGACACTTCACCAAATTACTTTTGTATGATGTGTGATGTCTTAGACTCACTTTGTTTCTGGATAATGTTTTGTTGTTGATGCAGCATGACAAAAGTCTGCTGTGTTATGAGCGGATTTCAGTTCAGAGTTATTAAAAATTAGTCTACACCCATCAAAGGGTAACTTCTTATTCCTTTTTTATTCTATTTCAGATGATTAATGAGCATGATTCATGAGGGAGGGAAGAATATATATTACACTTCTCATTAGAGGTTTACAGTGCCAAGTGTACTAGTAAATAAATTCAATTCAATTCAATTTTATTTGTATAGTGCCAATTCATAACAGAAGTTATCTCAGGACACTTTTCAAATAGAGCAGGTCTAGACTGAACTCTTTATAACATTAAAAGAATAAAATATTATCTATATAAATTCCTATAGCTCTGTAATGTGGATATGTGCTTTTATTTCCCTTGGCTTTATGGGGTAATACATTTCTCTACTCTCCTCTTGCCAGCGATGGACATAATGATTTTCCTGGCGAAGTCTGCAGAAAACATCACAAAGCACTCTAAGAACGTGATGACCACCATGGGGGAGTGGGAGCTGCTGGATATCACGTCGCACAAAGACAAATATGGACATGAGGATGGTCAATATATTGATGAGCTTTCATTTCATGTAGGTTGACTGTCTAATGTAAATCATTCATTTAAGAGCGTATATTGTGGTTTAAAGCAAGCATGCCTATGTCGTGTTTACCTTTCCCGCTGCAGATCAGACTGAGGCGCCGGGCAACCCTGTATGTGGTGAACCTGCTGATCCCCAGCTGTTTCCTCATCACAGTGGACCTCTTCAGCTTCCTGCTGCCTCCCCAAACTGTGGACCGATCCTCCTTTAAGATGACCCTCATTCTGGGATACACAGTCTTCTTGCTCATCATGAACGACCTGCTGCCTATCACTGGAAACACCATACCTCTCATAAGTCAGTGTTATTCAGTCTCAGCAAAAGGTCTTTGTATTTACTAAAACCTGTTACATGTGTATCTTGCTTTTAAATGTGTTATATTCTGCTGTTGCTTTAGTTGTTACTACTACTGCTGTGTGAGGAGTGTAGACTGCCAGCTATGTTATGGTCAAAAGTGTAAAGGATGATGCAGCAATGATGAACCTTTTCTCTTGATGCTATTATACATTAATCAATGAGTTAGAGAACCAAGCTAGAAAAGCCAATCTACAGTATTTGTATGAGTCTAAAACAAACTCTTTCAGTGAAAATGGTGGATCCAGGTGTCCTTCATTCATCTCTTTGCCATCATAATTAAAAAGCTTGCAAGTGTGTAATAAATTGTGTGCAATCTTCCATGCTCTATTCTATAAAAAGATACTGTGGGTAAGGTATGTTTAGATTTACATGCTTACATATGCATTTCCAGAAGGGGAACAGAGAGGTTTTACCTGTCCACCTGCTGAATATACAGTAAACTATAAAACACATTCAGACAGTGCAAACATTTATTGATTCTAGCCTCACTTCTCCCCCCTGTCCGTCTCTCTGTCTGTCTCTCTCTCTCTCTCTGCCAGATGTGTTCTTCTCTCTCTGCCTGGCTCTTATGGTGACCAGTCTACTGGAGACTATCTTCATCACTAATCTGCTGAGCGGCTCTGCTGACTTCTCTCCCCTCCCTCGCTGGGTCCGAGTGTTTGTTCTGCAATTCCTGGGCTGTCTTGTTTGCCTGCCTCAGAAGACTAAAGAGCCAAAAGGTTCAGGTATACAGTTTATATGTAGTTCGACATATGTAGAGCACATCAGCTGGATCGACATGATTGTTTATACACATACACCACATTGAAGGAGTAAATGTATTGAAGCAATTTCCTGGATTGCTTATTTTAAATTCAACCTTTTCTTTCCTTGAAAACCAGACATAAAATTCAGCACTGCAATGGCACAGCGAAAAGCTGACGAGGGGCCTCCGGGGGAGATGATGCCAGTGGCTGAGGGCAAGGCCGTTCAGGAGCTGAGGAGCCTGGGCAGGGACCTCCAGGCCATCCGCCTTCAGGTGGAGCAGCAGCTGGGTGGAAGCAAGAGCTCGGAGGAGTGGATCCAGGTGGGTTTCATCATAGACCGCCTGCTGTTCGGCCTCTACATGGTCTTCATATCAATCAGCTTCATTACCATCATCATTATCTGGGGGAACTCATACAGTCAGTAGACAACCGCTGTCTGTTTTTAGGAGCTCCATTTATGTAGCTAGAGACTAAAATGTTTGTTGAAGTTTTAACACACAATAATTTTGTTCTGCATTCACGTGATTTGTTTTGGAGCCTAGACATTTATATAAAATCTAAAGTTATTGTATCATTGTTAATAATAACAAAAGATCATATTATTGCTATTGGGAATTAAATTAGCTCTAGTATATTAACTAGATGTAGTTGTAACCCATTTGTGTTATATTGAAACAAATGTATACAAAATAAAATTACTTGAAAAAATTCATTCAGTTTCCCATTGACATTCATTTCAAACATAATAATCGTGTTCCAATTGTTTTTCTATTTATTTATTCACTTTGAGTTTTGAATCCTACACAATTAGAAAATGTAGTTATCTGCTAGCAATGGTTCCACCAGAACTAAATATAACAATGAAATCGATCATGTAAGATAAATAACAGCTGTCATCTGATCTATACAGATATAATAATAATAATAATAATAATAATAATAATAATTTTAACAAAACACCCAACAAAAGGTTTCTGAAATAAGCGGGTAGAAAATACGGAAAGATATTGAATTGATAAAGACGGATGTAGCCAAACAATAACTCATTTGTAAAATATGTTTAATGAATGACATGTGACTAATGCCTTTACCAAATTTAATCTTTGAATTGTATTTTACTTCTAATCTAATCCTGTCTAATTATAGATTCATATAACACAAACCAAATCTCTAAAATTATTAAATAAGTATCTTAAAACCAATTTTAAAAATTAAAGTAACAAACATTTGTGTAATCACAGGCAGAGGGCTCTGTGCCACAAAGCTGGAGGCACATTGTCTGAAATATAAGTGAAGGCTGTTGCATCATGATTTCCCTAAAATCATTTACATAAACAGCATCTCCTTCTACTGTTGGATCACATTTAAGAGACAGAAAGGAGATCACAATGTGTAAATTAATTTGCACTATAAAGCAAAGTTGCTTCACATACTCAGTTTATTTTGGAAAAGTAAGCACTCGCACTTTTGCATCTTAGATGGAAAGTATTCCTTTTATGTCTGGATATGATGCTGTCCTACCATTGGGACTTTGTTTTCAGACATGCC